AATTATATAATCCTCATTATTACCAAGGAAGATAATTTTTGTTGGTCCCAAACTATTTCCAAACAATGAGTGATAATCCTCATTAATTTACCAAGAAATACATATACTACAAAATTTTCACTTTTACTCTAGTAATCTTCTCAATCTTTAACAGTTAATGTACCAATTACACTAAAATATTTCAGTTACCTTTTCTATACAAATATCAATCTGAGATTCACTGCAAGATTATTACTTAATCAATATCACACAAATATACCAAAGAACATGCATACATATTCACTACCATGCCAAACATAGCTTCAGCTCTGTATTCCATGACTTTCATTTCATGTTATTTTAAAACCATATATATTTCACAACCCATTTCCCAGATATTCTTATTAGTCATATGCTATGACAGTGACTGACTGCAAGGTGTGAAACTCACTCTACCTATTGATATTGGTGATAAAAATCCTTAGATAGTTTAAGATATATGAAGAACACACACAGAAGAATTGTACACATTATCTGCCACCCTCCATTGTTCTCCTGACAAAGTTTTCTAAACTTTAAGTGCAGCAGATAAGTGTGTATAACTAAAGTGAAGCCAAATGCTTTAGGCTTATAGCTTGAATGCATATGATGTCATTAGCAATACAGAATACTGTAAAAATAAAATCATATACATATATATGTGTGTGAATATATATATAATATGTGTGTATGAATTTATATACAATATATGTGTGTGTGTGTGTGTGTGTGTGTGTGTGTGTGTGTGTGTGTGTGTGTGTGTGTGTTGTGTGTGTGTGTGTGTGTGGTGTGTGTGTGTGTGTGTGTGTGTGTGTGTGTGTGTGTGTGTGTGTGTGTGTGTGTGTGTGTGTGTGTGTGTGTGTGTGTGTGTGAGTAAAATTGAGAGTAAAATAAGTTGTAGAAAAAAAAGATAATTTCTACCATGGAGTTCATAACAAATAGCAGCTAGTTGCTTCCCAGACAGTGTATTTGATTATCAAATAATTTTAGACTAGAACTGCATTTTTCTATCCATACAAGCCTTAACAATATTCTTGAGGTAATGTTCAAATATAAATAAAGACAGTATATCTTATCAGTTTTCCCTTCAGCTCCTAAAATTACATAAACAAGAATGGTAGATATTTAAACGTAAGTCACATATCAAATGCCTGACTTATTACATGTTAAACATTTAATGCTTTTTACAATCATGTTTTAATGTTAGACTCCTTTAAAGATCTCTTACTATATGATTTATGAATAATCTTTAAGTATACTGCTGAAATAATGTATGTTAATATTATTCATTATGTTTAATTTTTCTTCCATAATAAAAAATCTGTAATAAAAAAATCTATTATCCAGAAACAAAGAAATATTAAACCAGACAAAAAATACTTGGCTGACAAAATAAGCTGTAAAATATTAAAAAATAATAATAATAAAAAAATAAAAATCATAATAATCAATGAATAAACAAAAAAAAATCAAAATAGTAATAATAAAGTAATAATAAATTGATAAATACGCATACTTTATATACTATGAGAATCTGGTTAACTACACATTCCATCCTTTCCTCACTTGCATATTGCTGTAAGGGTAAAGTAGGTCTCATGACTTAAGCTCAAGATTGTGGTCCCACAAATGGCATAAGGAAAAAGTAGGGATCCATATATACCAAGCTGAAAAAATAGGAGGGAAAAGAAGAAAAAGAAAAAACATTTGATACTTCTGCGTTTACATTCTGCCTAACATTTCTTCATTAATTTTATCAGATTACACTCTATTGGGAATTACATTGCAAAAGCATGAATTTGTAATTCATTCAACATAATATGAAGTCTAACCTTGGGATTAACACACACAAAAATCAGCTTTATGATACCTTTGACCCACTAACATATGTATACCATTCAAACATTGAAAGTTGGGATTCCTTATCCATTTAAAATGCTTTGTCTATAGCAATGAGTTGCACATTAAATAGTCAACCAGGATACAGAAAAGGACTGTTAAACCCAAGTACTAGTACAAACTTATTCAAGCACTATTTAGTAATTTTATCCAGAACTGTTTTGCTATGCTGACATCTTTGTCTACTGCTAAATGTTGCTAACCATGTATCTTGTAATATAAGATAGTAAATTCTCATTTCTGAGGCATTTATAATCAAGGAAAACTTTCCATGATGTCTCTTACTTCCACTCCTTAAAACATTTTTTACTATCTTTCCTTTCAAGTTCAAACTATCACAGATAATCATATAAATTTATCAAAGATCTAAATCTGTTCCATATTTGTTTTATACTTTGCTTACCAACTGTTGGTAATATATCTTGTATCCTATCTGGAAGACACATAAAAATGCACTCAGTACTTGCTACATGCATGCTATAAACATACAAGTTATTTAATCAATACATATAGGTTTCAGTAACCATGATAATTTATCATTAGCTCAAATTCCATAAACAAGTCAATACTGTTATATTGATAAACATCCAATTATCCAAAAACCTACCATATACTAGGAGATAAGGTAGTAGTACTTTCTCCATTCAAATCACAATTATGGTATCCTTTATTAAATCCATTAGTTGTATTTCAAAAAGATGCATTCATACTATAAATACTGGTAAGCATGTGGTCATATGCATAAATAAATACTTATGTACGAGATTTGCCATTGTTATCTAAATACTGATATAAATGAGGTACTATTTCCATTTTAAGGCATGAATTTTAACAAATCTAAATGAAAAGTTAAAATTCAACTACAATCTGTTCACCTAGGCTTCAATTCTGCCAAAAGGTCCCGTGTTAACTTACTTAGTTTAATTTCACCAAAAACTGAATCCCTTATACTTTTTTTGTCTAGCTATTAGATTTGAACTAAAGTTTCTTAGCTATTTTTATTGCATTCTTTTACATTTCAATTTTCTAATCTTTAATTATGCTTGCATTAGAAATATCACTCTATTCTCCCTACCCCCACACTTGTTTCAAATTCGCCATTCCACATTTCTAGGTAATGCACTGTTAATTTTAACTTATATCCTGAAGGAACCAGCTTGACTGTTTATATGCTGCATCCGCAAATACACATCAGTTCCAATACCTTGCATGGCCTGGATCTCTAAGCTGCCTCCCATGTACTCTGCATAGGCTCTAGAAGTGGGAAGGCCAAACCCAAATCTGAAAGTACCATCATAAACAAAATAAGAAATGAATTCAACTTATATAATGTAATTTATATATCTTCACTGAATCCTAGTGTTTTTAACTGCCTAACCTAAGAAAGAATGAAGAGAAACTGAAAAGAAAGACAATCTAATTATCAGTAATGTACTCTGTAGTTCTTCTTTACTTACCCGTGCATGGGCCCACCAGCAGGATTAGGATTAACTGCCTCCATCATGTTTGAGAAGACACCTTCTTGCTGCTCTGGATCAGACATATTCTCCTTGTTTGCAGTTGTGAAGTTATATTCAAGAACTCGACCTACAAGATGGTGGGGTATTCCTCCACCCCTATCACTAATCCTGGATGAAATGGGGAAAGTGTTACTAAGAAGTTTTTCTGTGAGGAAATTTTTTACAATACAGTGATTACAAAATAAGGGCCTTTTGTACCCTTTTTCTGCAAATTTGTCAGCAACAACAAAAAACAATTTTCTGTACTTCCTATTTGTTCAAGTAACAAATTTTATCTAACAAGTGAAAAAAATAGGGACTAAATATTATAGACTGTTGAAGTTTCATTTACCTGATTATGAAGTCTCTCTCATTTGAAGCAATGGTGATATGTATGGGTGGCAAGTGGCCAGATTCATATTCTGAATGACTCTCAATTGTTGCTCTCACAGCATTCTTTAGAATCTCTGGCAAAATATAATCCAGCGGCACTAAAATGATAGAAAAAATATATAAGCAAAAAGCAGTAAGCAACAAGGACCTATCAACTATGCTGCATGATACATAAGGAAGCAAAGAGATTAAACTGTATTAGGAAAATTGAGTACATAAATTATTACTGTGCTTATAAAAATCTCTGATAATAATTACATAAACCTGCCCTCAAGCTGAGTCAAATAATCAAATTATTTTGCCCATAAATAAAAGAAACAGAACTTACACTCAATATATGGGAAGACGGCATTGACATGACCTGACAGTTTGATTTCTGGCACCTTCCCATATTTGTGTAATGAAACACGAGAAACAAACTGACAGCTTCGTTCGATCACCTCCTTAAGCTTCATTCCAATATTTATAATTCCTACATAGTTTTGCTGTAAAACAATACACAATAAAATTACTATTAATAGGAACTGAAATTCTGAAAAGCATCAGTACTCTTGATACTTAATTTGATCTACCATGCAAACAGTACTTCTAAATATACAAATTCCATTTTCATTTGATCTGCCTTATGCTAGGCAATATATGACAACTGGAAATTTTCTGCATTTTTATGATATGATTTGAACCTTTCAGTCTCAGACACTCCATACAATATAAAGTAATAACTAGTATTATATAATACTGTATCCATATCCCATTCAAAATAGCCTACTCTATTTTTCTTTTTAAAAAGCACAAACAGGAACATGAGTTTTTCAAAGATGTTTACCTTACTTTCCCTAAGAGAAAGATGATGTTGAGCCAGCATACGAATGCTCAGACGAGAGGTGAGTGTTGTGTCCAAAAAACGGGCTACAGACTCTTCATCTTGAATGTGCCGTCTGCATTCTCTGAAGCCCTGGGCAAGGTGTGTTACTACATTCTGTAAAAATAAATATTGCCCTGAGATATAAAAATTCATAATAAGTTATGTGTATTTGGGAATGTTCCTCCAAAATGTGTTGAATACATCATCAGTGCAGCTTTGCATTATTGCTGACCCTACCTTGTTGGATGCTATCCATTAATACTAACATTCAGTAATACACCTAGAATATAAAAATAAAGTAACATACCGAGGTAAGGATGCATCAAAATATCCATTTCTATCAAATACACATAATAAACATTTACAAACTATTATCAATTAATATAATAAATCTACCAAAAAAGTTCCTTCCCTTCCATTCAGTAAATAAAGGTAAGAACTTAGTACACACAACATATCAGTGCTGCACACTACCTTTTACCTTCATACCAGACATTCACATTTATGAGCTGCCAGTGACTCTTAGACATTACAAAATACCTTATGATCCTCTAAGAGCTGAGAAAGCCTCCTGCTGAAATTCACTTCATCCTCCTTGGTAGCAACCGGAGCATAACTGTTCAGTATGTTGAAGGCTCGAATGTACAGTTCATGCTGCAAAAAGTTTGAATATCATTAGTCTTTGCTAACTTGATAATAACCAATATCTGCATTCCCTACATCTTCCTTTTTACACCAACAAAAGGAAGACATATGAAATATCTTAGTGGTAACATACAGTACTTGATCAAATAGTTCTTAATCATATCACGTTAGTTATTTAGAGTTGTATGACACATAAATTGCATATCATAAAGAAATCTGCTTACCACTCCCAGAACTACAGGATTGCAGCCCACAATGAAGGGAAGGGAACGGAATCCCATGATTCTCTTGGCAATACGAACTGGCAATTCCTTTTGTAAATACTGAGCACTTCTCTGTGGAAAAAGAGAAGTACTGTTTTAGTGGCAATCAAAGTAGAATAGGAGTAATATAAAAAAAATGTTGAAAAATATTTTTAAAATATATATGTATAACTCATAAGTCTTTCATACGTCTAAATGTCTATTTGATTGGTATTAACAAAAACATACTCAATAACCCCTAATCATATATCTACTAATCAATATATTATTCATATAGTTATTGACTATAAAATTAATCCCCACTGGATAAAATCACATAATCTACATATACTGACCAGGATTGTGGCCTCATCCTCACTCCTTCCATGGTATAAAATGGCTGAGGTAGTTAATCTCACGGTTTTCTGCAGGAAACAAGAGAAGCAAATGAGATACTACTATACAATAATTTGCAACCATCATCTTTTTTCTGTCTGCACCTACTGGATCTTTCTTTTCTACATCTGTTAGTCTATACATGTGCATATACTCCTTATACACTGATTTATATCACTGCTACATTATTGTGAAGGCAGTACATAGCATCATGCTGAGCAGTTCAGAATATCATGACCTGATTAATTTACAATAAGCAATAGGCATAATGGATAATACACAGCTGGGGAAAGGTACATCACTCATCTAGTATAATGCACATTACTAACTCAGGCTATAAAAATTATATATATATATATATATATATATATATATATTATATATATATATATATATATATATATATATATATATACACAATATTAAAACTAATAAATCAATAGAAATTAACAAATTAACTTGTATGTCACAACACAAAAACAGACAATGCAGAAAAGGTTAATTCAAACAAAATACATACATTATGTTTTAGTTTGGTATTAAGTGGCATCTCCACCATTTTTCAGTTTGAACATCATGTACACATCAATAAGTTAATAGCCAGGCAAATCACTTCATTTTATTATAAATCATCATGGTATAACAACCATCATTTCATGTAGTACACATAATCAAAACTTTTCACATGGGTCATCTGGAATAAAAGGGAAGTGGAAAAGAACATGAGACCAAAGAAGTGGGAAAGAGTAAGGGTATGGCAAAGAGTAAAGAAAGAAATAATAAAAAGTAGGGGTGGAGGGGGTGGAAGGAGGGAGGCAGGTGGGGGAAAAGGAGGTAGGAAGGAGGAGGGAAGAAAGGGAGAGAAGGAGAGAGGGTGTGAGAGGTAGGGATGGAGGAAGGAAGGGGGGGGGAGAAGGAGGTGGAGTGGAGAGTGGAGAGGGGAGAGGGAGAGGGGGGAGGGAGGGAGGGGGGAGAGGGAAGGGAGGGAGAGGGGAGAGGGAGGGGAGGAGGGGGGGAGAGGAGGGAGAGGGGGAGGGGGGAGGAGGGGGAGGGGGAGAGGGGGAGAGGGGGAGAGGGAGAGAGGAGAGAGAGGGAGAGAGAGAGAGAGAGAGAGAGAGAGAGAGGAGAGAGAGAGAGAGAGAGAGAGAGAGAAGAGAGAGAGAGAGAGAGAGAGAGAGAGAGAGAGTGTGTGTGTGTGTGTGTGTGTGTGTGTGTGTGTGTGTGTGTGTGTGTGTGTGTGTGTGTGTGTGTGTGTGTGTGTGTGTGTTGTGTGTGTTACACTAAGAATTATGGGAGGACAGCAGTACATCTCCTACACACTTCAAATGCAAATGTTTCAAGGTTAAAATTCACCTACCAGAATATTTCCTGTAATTAATACTTGGAAAAGTTATCTGAGGACTGTGCTACCCTGCAGAAGGAGAACTTTGTTAGTATGTTACTATGATATGGTTACCTTAGTCATCCCCAATAATGTGCCATTGCTAAAAAATCATAAACTAACATTTCAAAAATAAATCAACTAATTGAAAGACAACATGTAGCTGCCTCATCTAGTCTCATGACAAATCAACAAATTTAGTTCAACTGAATTATTATGTTTCATCTACATGGTTACAAATAAACAAATACTAAAAATAAAAATACACTATATAAAAATCAAAAGAACATAAACATAAGACATTTCCCCAAGCATACAACTTGGGGTTCCGAAATACAGTTTGAACATAGTAACAAGCAGACACCAGGCAGGAAGTATTCTCTGCAGCCTTCGTCAAAGCTCAAACAAAAACTATAACTTATTCATGCACACAGCCCCAGCCAAGTTTCTGCAATCTGAAATGTTCAATATATTTCATTAACATTATCCACCTGGTACAAGGTCAATGTCAAAGTATAAGTTGGGATGCACTTGACATGCCAAATTACACAGTGACATTCTAATGGAACAAGCATGGGAAGTAAACATCCTTTGCCATGACAAATACATATATTAGTAATGTTCAGGCATTGCTAAATTCACCATTTTGCTTCTTTCTACCTATATATTTTTTCTTGCTTTTACTGTCTTTTTAATATCTTTCCTGGTGGTGATACTATAATGGTGATGATGGTGATGATAGTAATGGGATGGTTAGTGGTTAATGGTTAAAAAGCAAAAATAAATGTGCTAGACATCTAAGGTCATATAGCACTATAGGAAAGTATATTAAAGGAGGGGTGAAGGGTCATGTAGCACTATAGGAAAGAATATTAGAGGAGAGGTGAAGGGTGATAGTTGCTATGCATGAACTATCTACAGTGATCTTGCAGGGTTAAAGATGCTTAAAGAAGTTGTGTAAATGGGCTATGGTCGGCTTATGTAAGGGAATTACATAAGTGTTTCACATGTCTATCCAGGAGGGAGTGGAAATGATAGAGGGGATGGAGGGAGGGAGAATGTATATATAGTCGGAGTTGAGGGGGGTGGGTTGTATTGGGAGGGAGTAGGAGGAAGTGGTGTAGGGGGAGTATGAGTAAGAGGAGGATGGGTGTCGGGAGGATGGATATCAGCAGTAGGCTGTATTGAGGGGGATGGGTTGTGTTGGGAGGGAGTAGGAGGAGGATTGATATCAGTAGTATCAGGAGGATGGAAATTGGTAGTAGGCTGTATTGAGGGGGTTAGGTTGTGTTGAGAGGGAGTAGGAGGGGGTGTAGGGGGAATATGAGTAGGAAGGGGATGGATATCGGCAGTCACTTCGAGTATGGAGGGAGCATGAGGTATGGAATTTTGTGTCTCAAGCATATAGTTTTGGATATCTTCCATAGTTTCTGCAGTGGACTTGGTTGGAGAGTTTTGTGAGACAAAGGTTCTCTTATGAGGGGGGGACGAGGAGACTGGTGTCTGAGGAATGAAGGTAAAGGTAGGTGAAGGTGAGTGTGCAGTAAGGTATAGGGGAGGGTGTAGGAACATCTTGAGGTGGAGGAGGAGGGGCAGAGCGAGCGACATACTAGAGTAGGGAGTATAAGAGAAACCTTGTCGGCATGCTTCCTGTCTGGCTTCACGTAGTGTGAGACCATCTTTCTATCTGAGAGCTGTTACCTCAGACTCGAACTTGTAAGTGGGACAGCCTCTACCAAATACATTATGGGGGCCGCCGCAGTTTGCATACATATGTGTTTGTACAGAGCAGTTTGATCGGTTATGACTGGGTTGGGCACATAAGGGGCATCGGTCTGTAGAACAGCAGTGTTTGGCAGGATGTCCAAATCGCCAACAGTTTTGACATTGACAGGGAGGTTGGTATGGTTGAACAGGGAGGGATTGTCCACCAATGTAGATATGAACGGGAAGGTCATGTGCACAGAAAGTAATTTTGGTAATGTTGGTGTTTTTTTTGTTTTTTTTTTTAAACCTCTAGGACGAATGGTGTAGCAATGTACTGATTTCACATCTTGGTCTTTGAGGCATTCTCCACAGTCTAACCAATCTTTGGTATCGATTGGGCAATTTGCAGGGGAGATAGAGACAGTTAGATTTGATAATGCTATAGCTTCAGTTTCAGATCTGACTGTTACGAGACGGAAGCGATCACATCTAGTATGGAAAGGGACTCTGCCCACTTGTTTTTGGAGGCATTGTTGAAAGAGAAGAGTGTTGCCTGAGTAAGGAGCTGTTGGGGGAATCACGAAAAATCGGTCCCATTTAGCTGGGCTAAATAGAGTATTTAAGATATTTGTAGGGTTGGTGGTGGGAGAAGGGCGGGGGCATGTGGTAGAGGGAGCATTGTTGAGAGGGGTAGTATTATGGAGAGATGGAGAATAAGGCTGTAAGGTAGTAATAAGGGAGATAGGGGTGTTTGATGAAGAAGGTTGTAGGGGTTGAGGTGATGAAGTTGAGGAAGTTGGGAGAGTAGGAATGTCTTCTGGAGACTGAGTCTCAGCTTGGGTGGGTAATGCACTGGTAGGCATTGAGGAGTGGATAGTAGTATCAGTGTTCAGGGTCATTGTCAAAGGAAAGCCTGGGGTCGGAGAGCCAGTAGAGTCTGAATCGGTGGGGCTATTTGATGAAGGGGCAGGCCTCATTGCCTCTAATATGGGTATTACTTCATTACTGGCCATGGGATGCTTTGATTATGTAGGGGAAATAAACAGTCCACTCCCTAGGCAGGGGAGATCCCTGCATTGGGTTTCAGTCTCCGTCTCCTAAGCCGCCCCACGACAACAACGGGCAAGGGATTGGGGGGGTAGTGATGGGATGTGATAGTAATGAAGGTGATTTGGTGTTGTGTGATGTTGTGATGCTGCTGAAACTGGTGATGGTAATAGTGAAGGTGGAGGTGATGGTAGTAGTGGAGGTGGAGGTGATGGTAGTGGAGATGGAGACGAAGGTGGATGTGGAGATGGATGTGGATGTGGAGATGGATGTGGATATGGAGATGGAAGTGGAGATGGAGGTGGAGACAGAGGCGGAAGTGGAAATAGAAGTGGAAGTGGAGGTGGAGGCAGAAGTGGAAATAGAAGTGGAAGTGGAGCTGGAGCTGGAGCTGGAGCTGGAGCTGGATATAGAGGTGGAGGTGGACATGGATATAGAGGTGGAGGTGGAGGTGGAGATAGGATAGTGGATATGGAGGTGAAGATTTAAGATTTTTAATATTCACTTTCAATTACATTTATTACAATGGATATTATTTGCTGTGACATAATGTCTGCTTTATTTTGCCTTCTAAATCTCCCCGTGTGCAAGGAAGGGCCGGGGATACCATTCACTGGTAGTGCGCAGGATCAAACACAGGTCAGCAAGATTGCAAGCCCAGCACGTTACCAATGGACTACACAGGTGGAGATAAAGGAGGTGAAAATGGAGGTGAAGGTGAAATGGAGGTGAAAATGAGGTGGAGGTGGAGGTGGAGGTGGAGGTGGAAGTGGAGATGGAAATGGAAAATACAACACTGAACTTATAAACCTGTAACCTTGATTTATCTAAAAAGTCTACGACTATTCATAGTGAGTGTGTTGCAGGGCTAAAGGTTTAAATTCACTCTATGGG